TGAGTCTCGAACCAAACTTCCAAAACTTCAAAAGGATTTATTTGGGAGTTAACATGTCCGGCACTGCCTGGGTGTAGCCGACTCTGAGACACATCATTCATTGTCACTCTTGACCCTGGTTTCCCCCCCACCCCCTGGGTATATCATAATTCATATTCTCCAATGGGACACATCCATAGCCCAGAGTCATCAATCATGTTCTCCAGTTAGAATTTTGCCCAGCAGAAACTTCAGTCACCTAGTTACTATCTTTGAAAACTATTTATGGAATGCACTTTGGATTTCCAAGCTGCCGCACTGCTCTTTCAAACCCCCTTTGCCCCCTCCCTTTCTGTTGGCAACTCTAAAACGACCATAGAAATGTTTTATGAGTTGAACACACTTTTTTCAGCGGCGTTGTATGTTTGAACGGTCGCTAAACGAACGGTTGTAAGCCGAGGAGTAATCCGTATTGTTAACTTTCAGGACTTTTTCCAAAGTTTTATATACGGTTTGCAACTCTCCGAATCCACCAGCAGAGAACAGATGCAGAGGGAGTGGGAATCGTATTTAGTTTCTATTTTGCCCTTTACGTTTTAATTGCGTCTGACGGATGAGGATGAATAAATAATAAACTAGGAGCCGTTCCAAATCTTTTTATGTACACCAAAGGATTGCAATTTAATTTTAATCGTTTTGTTATTAGATCGTTTCGTCTTGGGTTCTATTTTTACTTCCTACCGCAGAGTCTCACTTTTAATATTAAAAAGCCCCTGAGTAATCGCTCTAGTATTTTAAACGCACCCCGGTACGCTCTTACACGAGTTGGTAGGTTTTATGTGCAGGTAAGGCTTCGAGTTATGACCCACAATTGGGCCCGGAATTTATGTTGTTTAAGCGAAACACATTGGTTGAGTGAGCTTGCCTTTATTTTACGATTTTTCCGGCATCACTGCAGTTGTTAAGTGAGTCACACGGTTGTTAAGTGAATCGGGCTTTCCCACTTGGCTTGCCAGAAGTTCACAAAAGGGAACGTACAAGTGGCTTGCACTATCAACGTTGGTGGGAATGTTCTTGATGGTACTTCTTGGATCTTGCTTAGTAGTAAACAGCAACCTAATCGGATTAGACTAATCTTGACAGGGGGAGCTGTTCGTATAGCAGCAGAGAGCAAACACACACACACACACACCACACTTGTAGCGCTGATGGTGTTACCTAGCTGGGTAATGAAACGTCTGCAAGAAAAGTGGCTTGCACTATCAACGTTGGTGGGAATGTTCTTGATGGTACTTCTTGGATCTTGTTTAGTAGTAAACAGCAGCCTAATCGGATTAGACTAATCTTGACAGGGGGAGCTGTTCGTATAGCAACAGAGAGCAAACACACACACACACCACACTTGTAGCGCTGATGGTGTTACCTAGCTGGGTAATGAAACGTCTGCAAGAAAATGACCAAGCTCAGAGAGCATCAAGGACTCCACAATCGTCATTCCCCTCCTACTCCCTCCCTCCTCCTCTCTTCCTCCTCTTCCTCCCTTCCTCCTCCTCCTCCTCTTTTCCTCCCTTCCTCCTCCCTTCTTCCTCTTCCTCCTCCTCTTCCTCTCTCCAACCCCCCCCTCTCTTCTAGCACTGATGATGTTACTTAGTTGGGTCACGAAACGTCTGCAAGAAAACAACGAGGATACACTCAAGATCAAGGGAGGTACTAATACCACTCTATAAAGCCTTAGTAAGACCACACCTGGAATATTGCATTCGTTTTTGGTCACCGCACTATAAAAAAGATATTGAGACTCTGGAAAAAGTGCAGAGAAGAGCAACCAGGAGGATGAGGGGACTGGAGACTAAGGCACGTGAAGAACGGTTGCAGGAACTGGGCCTGGCTAGTCTAGGGAAGAGAAGGACCAGGGGAGACAGGAGAGCATCTTCCAATATTTGAGGGGCTGCCACAGAGAGGAGGAAGGGAACAAGCTATTGTCCAAAGCACCTGAAGGCCAGACAAGGAATAATAAAGGCATAAAGACGCACTTCAGTGGGGTTACCAGATCATCCAGCCTACTCAGGGTTGGTTTCCCACTACAGGACCCATCCTCCACTGAGCCCTCATGAAGTGAGGATAAGTTTAACATCTGACACCTGCTGACTGTTAATCCAGTGATCATTGAATCCGCTCAAATCTTGTTATGCGTTGACTCTTCTGGGAATAGGTTAATTTTTTTGTCTTGATTGGCCCAATTAGAAAATCATTATAGTAGCTATCAGAGCAAGAAATAATTGTCCAAAGCTTGACTTCCTCTGTTTTCCTTTCCTGTAGCGTCCTACAGACCACAGTAAATTAAATATCTCTCCTTTTTCTTTAAAATAGAAGGGGAAGAGGTTAATTCCACAAAGAACCAGGTTGGACTTTGGTGATATGAAGCCCTAATGCCATGACGGTGAACCTGTGGCACACCTGCCACAGGTGGCACGCAGAGCCGTTTGTGCAGGCATGCGAGCCCCAGTCAAACTTACCTGCGCTGCGCATGTGCGCGCCCTCCCAGCTGCTTTTAGGCCCGTTTGAGGCCTTTTTCGCCCTCCCAGAGGCTCGAACGAAGCCTTTGTAGCCTTTGCAGGCCGAAAAACAGGCCTTCCGGAAGTGCCAAAACAGGCCTTGTTTTCAGCCTCCCGAGGCTGCAGAGGCTTTCCTGGAGCCTCTGGGAGGCCGAAAAAGGCCTCAAAACGGGCTGAAAATCCAGCTGGGAGAGGCGCGCATGCACAGTGCAGGGAAGGGGACAGGGCGGGGGTGTTGCGCACGCATGCACGGGGGGGGGGGGAGCATTTAAAAAGGTTCATCATCACTGCCCTGATGGGTGAGGTGGGACAGCTGTTCAGGAGTCTTGTTCCCCTCCGAGGCAGTTTGGTCTGGTGATTTAGGTACCAATCTATAAAACGGGAGATTGGGAGTTCTAGTCCCGCTTTAGTTCTAGTGTGAGTTCTGGTAATTTCCTCCTAAGGCCTGAAAGCTCCCGGAATAACTTTTGGCCAATCGCCTGGAGACTGTGAGTTCTAGTCCCACCCTAGCCGTGAAAGCCAGCTGGGTGACTTTGGGCCAATCACTAGGAGATAAGTGAGTTCTAGTCCCGCCTTAGGCAGGAAAGCCAGCTGGGTGACTTTG